AATTGCCACATCTCCCGGTTCGGGCACTGCCAGGGATGCTTCCAGTCCTTAAATCCTTTTCCAATGGAAAACGTCCTACAGGAACAGCTCTTCCCATGGGATCAGATCATGGAATGGGAGAGAGCGCTGGGAACGAGTCCAAGCTCTCAACAAATCCCATTAAACCAGGGCAGGAATTGCCTCATCTCCTGGTTTGGGCACTCCCGGGAATGATTCCAGTCCTTAAATCCTCTTCCAATGGAGGAATTGTTCCTGCAGGAACGGCTCCTGCCATGGGCTGGGATCATCATGGAATTGGAACCAGTCCAAGATCCCACCAAATCCCATTAAACCAGGGCTGGAATTGCCACATCTCCTGGTTTGGGCATTCCCAGGGATGGTTCCAGACCTGAAATCCTCTTCCAATGGAAAATTTCCTGCTACAGGAACAGCTCCTCCCACGGGATCAGATCATGGAATTGGAAGCAGCTCCAGGACAAAATCCAAGCTCCCACCAAATCAAACCAGGGCAGGAACAGCCACATTTCCCATTTTTTGGGCATTCCCAGGGACGCTTCCAATCCTTAAATCCTCTTCCAACGGAGGAATCCTTCCCAATCTCCACCAGGAGCCTCCCTCGGGCGGGAAAAGCGAAGATCCGGCCAAGGCTGCTCCATCCTCCCCTTTCCCAAGGGGACACCAGCGGGAATTTTTTGGGATGAAACACGATGGAGAGGACGCGGAGCCTCCATTCCCAGCTGGAATACTCACCTGGGGGTTCTCCAGTATCCGCTTGACTCCGTCCACCAGGTGGGACAGGAACTTTGCCCGCTCGGCGTTGTTGAACAGGGAGCGGCGCACGGAGGCGATCTGCACCAAGCAGGATAAAACCTGGCCACGGAAAAACGGGAATCGCCCCAAAAAACCGGGATGAGAACGAGGAAGTGAAGGAATTTTCCCCTCACGGCACCAGCCGCCGTTGAGGTTTGCTGCTCCCAAACAGAGAATGAAATCCCAGCGCCCCAAACTCCAGCCCAAAACTCCCAGGATTATGGAAATTCCTGGGATTACGGAAATTCCTGGGATTATGGAAATTCCCAGAATTATGGAAATTCCCAGGATTATGGAAATTCCCGGGATTATGGAAATTCCCGGGATTATGGAAATTCCCAGGATTATGGAAATTCCCTAAATTATGGAAATTCCCAGAATTATGGAAATTCCCGGGATTATGGAAATTCCCAGAATTATGGAAATTCCCAGAATTATGGAAATTCCCAAGATTATGGAAATTCCCGGGATTATGGAAATTCCCAGAATTATGGAAATTCCCAGAATTATGGAAATTCCCAGAATTATGGAAATTCCCGGGATTATGGAATTCCAGAGGTTGGAAAAGCCCTCCAAGGTCCAACCTTTGACCCCCACCCTGGAGCAGAGCTCCGAGTGCCACATCCAGACTTTTCCTGGGATTGGGATTCCAATCGTGGATCCCGAGGGAAGAATTTCACATTTCCATCAAAAAAATAAAGGGATTTTCACCCCTCAAAACTCTCCTGAATATTTAAGGCTGGAAATTCAGGATTAGGAATTAACTCTCCACCAGAATAAATGGAATCTCCATGGAAAAATTCCTTCTGAAGGCTCTTCCTGCTCAAACTTATTTTCACTGAGCTTTAATTCAGGGATAAATGCCTGAAAGGCCTCTTTAAAATTATTTTTCCAGAAGAAATTATCCAATTTTTGATTTTTTTCCCATAAGAAATAATCCCATTTTTGATTTTTCCAGATAAAATAATCCAATATTTTATTTTTCCAGAAGAAATAATCTAATTTGTGTTTTTTCCAGATGAAATTATCCAATTTTTGATTTTTCCAGATTAAATAATCCAATTTTTAATTTTTCCAGAAGAAATAATCCAATTTTTGATTTTCCCCATAATAATCAAATTTTTAAAATTTTTTTAAAAAAATCCAACTTTTGGTTTTTTTCAGATAAAATAATCCAACTTTTGATTTTTCCAGATGAAATAATCCAATTTTTTAAATTTTTTTCAGAAAAATCCAGTTTTTGATTTTTTCCAGAAGAAGTAATCCATTTTTTTATTTTTCCAGAATAATCCAAATTTGGATTTTTCCAGAATAAATAATCCAATTTTTGATTTTTCCAGATTAAATAATCAATTTTTTGATTTTTCCAAAATAATCCAACACTTGATTTTTTTCCAGAAGAAATTACACAATTTTTTATTTTTCCAGAACAAATAATCCAACTTTTGATTTTTCCAGAATAAATAATCCAATTTTTGATTTTTTTCCAAAATAATCCAGTTTGTGATTTTTCCAGAATAATCCAACTTTTTATTTTTCCAGATAAAATAATCCAACTTTGGATTTTTTCCAGAATAATCCAATTTTGGATTTTTCCAGAAGAAATAATTCCCATTTTAGCTGTGTTATGCTCTCTCATCCCAAAGGGTTTGGAAATGATGGAAGGAGAAATCCCAATCCTTGGGGTGTTCCCAGCTTTGCTCCCTATTCCCACTGCGCTTTTTTAGGGAATTTTTTGGGAATATTGGGAATTATTCCCTCCGGGGAATGAACAAACAGGAGATTCCTGGGAGGTCAGAATTCCAGCCAAAAAAAATCCAACCTTGGAGGTGCCTCAAAACCCTCGGCAGCACCCGGATACTCCACATTCCCAGGGAATCTCCAAGAAAATTCCCAAAAAAACCAAAGGAAAAAAAATCCTGGGACTCACCAGAGGAGAGAACGAAGGAGGGATGGAATGATAAAGGTCAAAAAACAACTGAAGGGTCGAAGAATCCAAGAAAGCTGCAAGAGAAAACAGGATTGGATCCCCATTCCCAGATTGCCACGGCTTTATCCCGCTTTTATCCGCCTGGATTTGTCCCACGGAAGAGCCGCGATCCCGGAAAATCTCTGCTGGGATTTGGCATTCCCTGGATTCGGAGTTGGGAGGAAAAGGCAGGGATGGGATTTAGGGAATTGGAGACCTGGGAAAGGCAGAAAATCTGGGATGTGGGAAAAGGGCCGAGGTATTCCCGAAATTCCTTAAATCCCTTTTTTCCTGCTGGGTGGAACCAGGGGTGAAACACTGGAAGGGAAAAGGGATTTTAAATGATAAAATCTCCTAAAAATTAATTAGAACCGAGTTTAATCTCAGGTTTATTTATAAAATTTCCAAGGATTTCAGCATTTTCCAAGTGAGAAAATTATTCCTGAAATTTTTTTAAATTCGTTTCTCCTGCTGGGTGGAACCAGGGGTGAAACACTGGAAGGGAAAAGGGATTTTAAAGATAAAATCTCCTAAAAATTAATTAGGACCGAGTTTAATCTCAGGTTTATTTATAAAATTTCCAAGGATTTCACCATTTTCCATGTGGAAGTTATTCCCTATTTTTTCTTATTAATCCATTTTTCCTGATTGTGAAAGAATGGAAAAGGGATTTGAAAAGATAAAATCCCCCCAAACTGAATTAGAGCCGAGTTTAAATTCAGGTTTATTTATGAAATTTCCCAGGATTTGGTGTTTCTTGGGAATTTTCCCCGGGAATCCCGTCTCACCTGATCTCCAGCTGGTTGGGATCTGCACGGTGCACAGGATTTCCCATTCCCAGGATTTGGATTTCCCAGGACTTCCCAGGATTTCCCCTCACCTGATCTCCAGCTCGTTGGGATCTGCACTCCCAGGATTTGGATTTTCCCAGGATTTGGATTTTCCCAGGATTTGGATTTCCCGGGATGTCTCACCTGATCTCCAGCTGGTTGGGATCTGCACTGTGCACAGGATTTGGATTTTCCCAGGATTTGGATTTCCCAGGATTTCCCAGGATGTCTCACCTGATCTCCAGCTGGTTGGGATCTGCACTCCCAGGATTTGGATATTCCCAGGATTTGGATTTTCCCAGGATTTCCCAGGATTTCCCCTCACCTGATCTCCAGCTGGTTGGGATCTGCACGGTGCACAGGATTTCCCATTCCCAGGATTTGGATTTTCCCAGGATTTCCCAGGATTTCCCCTCACCTGATCTCCAGCTGGTTGGGATCTGCACTCCCATGATTTGGATTTTCCCAGGATTTCCCATTCCCAGGATTCCCCCTCACCTGATCTCCAGCTGGTTGGGATCTGCACGGTGCACAGGATTTCCCATTCCCAGGATTTGGATTTCCCAGGACTTCCCAGGATGTCTCACCTGATCTCCAGCTGGTTGGGATCTGCACGGTGCACAGGTCGTCCGAGGACTCGTCGGTGGAGGTGCCGATGAAGTCGAAGTTGAGGCAGTTGTGGGTGAGTTTCAGCAGCTGCATCAGCAGCCCGTGCTGGCTCTCGTCGTGCAGGTTCAGAGCCTTCCCCGACGCCTGCAATTAATTAGCGCTAATTAGCACTGCTGCAATCCTCATTGCAATTATTATTATTATTATTATTATTATTATTATTATCATTATCATTATCATTATCATTATTCTTTTGTTATTAATATTGTTATTATCATTATTGTTACAATTTTATTATTATGTTACTGTTATTGCTTCTATTATTATTATTATGTTACTTTCATTATTATTTTTATTGTTATTAATACTGTTAGTATTGTTATTATTGTTATTATTATTGCTATCATTATTATTTCTATTATTGTTATTATTGTTTTTATTATTATTGTGTTACTTTTATTACTGTTATTATTATCGTTAATATCATATTATTGTTGCTATTGTTACTATTATTGTTGTTATTACTATTATTGTTATTATTATTATTATTGTTATTGTAATTACTCTTATTATTTTGTTGCTTTGCTATTGCTATTATTATTGCTGTTGCCATTATTATTATTATTAGTACTATTATTACCATGGTTACCATTATTATTTCCTATTGCCTGCTTCTATAATTATTATTGTTATTATTATTGTTTTATAATTGTTACTATTTTACAGTTATTATTTGTTATTATTATTGTTTTATAATTGTTACTATTTTACAGTTATTATTACTGTTACTACTATCGCCACTATTATTATCACTGTTGCCATTAATATTATTATTATATTTTGTAAATATTATTATTATTCTGTTATTGTTACAATTATTTTGCAATTATTGTTACTATTATTGTTACTATTGCTATTGATATTATTCTTACATATTATAATTTACTATTATTATTATTATTATTATTATTATTATCATCATCATCATCATTATTATTATTATTATCATCATCATCATCATTGTTATTATTATCATTATCATTATTACTACTACTACTACTACTGCTATTGACGAATCCTAGAATTCCAGGCAGGAATTCCCTCCCAAGCCACCAACCGCCATTCCCAATTCCCAGAGGAGATTCCCGCGGATATTCCCGAGGATATTCCCAGAGGACATTCCCGAGGATATTCCCGTGGACATTCCCAGAGGACATTCCCGAGGATACTCCCGTGGATATTCCCGAGGATACTCCCGTGGATATTCCCGAGGACATTCCCATGGATATTCCCAGAGGACATTCCCGAGGATATTCCCGTGGACATTCCCAGAGAACATTCCCATGGATATTCCCATGGATATTCCCGAGGATATTCCCATGGATATTCCCGAGGATATTCCCAAGGCCATTCCCGAGGATATTCCCATGGATATTCCCGAGGACATTCCCATAGATATTCCCAAGGACATTCCGGAGGAGATTCCCAAGGAAGATTTCCAGGATTCCGAGGAAGATTCCCAGGGAGATTCCCAGGATTATTCCCAGGATTGTTCCCACCCTTTCCCCCATGTCTGAGGCGGCTGCAGCACAGCGCGAAGACGCGGAACAGGGAAGAATCCCGGAATTCCAGGTGGGAATTCACTCCTGAGCCACCCGCCACCATTCCCAATTCCCAGAGGAGATTCCCGCGGACATTCCCACGGATATTCCCATGGATATTCCCGTGGCCATTCCCGTGGCCATTCCCGTGGCCATTCCCACGGATATTCCCACGGATATTCCCACGGATATTCCCGAGGCCATTCCCGAGGCCATTCCCACAGATATTCCCGAGGCCATTCCCGTGGACATTCCCATGGATATTCCCATGGATATTCCCGAGGCCATTCCCGAGGCCATTCCCACGGATATTCCCATGGATATTCCTGAGGCCATTCCCACAGATATTCCCAAGGCCATTCCCGAGGCCATTCCCACGGATATTCCCGCGGCCATTCCCACGGATATTCCCGAGGCCATTCCCGAGGCCATTCCCGCGGACATTCCCACGGATATTCCCAAGGCCATTCCCGCGGATATTCCCGCCGTGGAAATTCCCGAGGCCATTCCCACAGACATTCCCGAGGCCATTCCCGCGGCCATTCCCGCAGACATTCCCATGGATATTCCCAAGGCCATTCCCACAGATATTCCCGCAGCCATTCCCGCGGCCATTCCCACGGATATTCCTGCGGATACTCCTAAGGCCATTCCCGAGGCCATTCCCGCGGATATTCCCGAGGCCATTCCCGCGGATATTCCCAATGCCATTCCCGTGGCCATTCCCGCGGATATTCCCGAGGCCATTCCCGCGGATATTCCCGCGGCCATTCCCGCGGATATTCCCAAGGCCATTCCCGCAGCCATTCCCGCGGATATTCCCGAGGCCATTCCCGCGGCCATTCCCGAGGCCATTCCCGTGGCCATTCCCGCGGATATTC